GGAACTGCACTGCATCCAGACTAGGTATGCTCTTCACCCGGAAACTCCATCGTGCCATTCAGGTGGAATTTGATGTTATCTGTCATCACTGTAGGCTAGTGATCAAACATGACAGCCAAGGTCCCACTGCTTGGTGTTAGAATTATACGGCCTGGGGTCCTCTAAATCACATGTTGGTGGCTAGGACATTGGACCTCAATTTTTATATATATATTTGTGAGTGGATCCCAACCTGTAGCTATAGAGCATTCAGAGCCACTGGAATCACAACAAGAAGGTAAGCAACACTGAAGTGGACAAACTTTCTCCTCAGCTGAAGTCCAAATGGCAACACTCAACCTGAGGAAACAGAACTCATCCAGTCTGGAATTATGAACACTCATCCTCACTCCCAAACCATATGGACAAGATAAATTCCACTTGCCTCCCAAATTATTTGGGGAACATGGAACAAACTGCACTTAACCAAGGACTCAGGATAGGGCCACTCTGCAGTTAGAATTACAAAGAGACAATGTACTGAACCAAAATTTATCAAAAAGAAGGACCACACTCAACCCCATTGGATAGCAGAGTGTCAAATCTGAACCAGTAGCATAAGCAGGTTCTATTCTGTGTACCAATGGACTGAGAAGCTGATGTTGGGGGTTGGACCTTTGAATAGGGGTGGAACTATGACCCTTGTAGGAGCCGAGGAATGTTGAGATGCCAACGACAACAGGTTTGAATGCAGAAGCAGACAATCGAACCAATGTGGATGCTAACACTGGTCCCAACTTGTCATCAATATGGATGTTGTGATCCTGAGAGTCTTCTGACAAAAGCTAACATAACATAATATTTTGGGACAACATGGGACCTATTGGTCCATCTCGGGTGTTCCATCCCCAACACTAAATTAAAATGATTAAAAAGAATAAAATAAAAACATTTTAAACCCAGCACTTTTTCATTCATATATTTATCAAGCTTTTTCTTAACCTCACTTAAATTTACTGCCTCTGCAACATCTGAAGGCAACCCATTCCAAAGCCCAACCACCCTGTTAGAAAAATAAGCTGAAGATGACTCCTACCTTGCCAAAATTTATATATGTGTCCTCTAGTCCTACTATTCTCATTGTTAAATATAAAAAAAATAATAAATCAACACTATCAATTCCCTTCACAATCTTAAACAACTCAATCAGATCCCCCTAATTCTTCTTTTCTCAAGAGAAAACAATTTGAGAGATTTCAGCCTCTTGTCATATGACAACCCCTCCATCCCAGGCACCATGCTAGTAACCCTTCTCTGAACTCTTTCCAACAATTCAATGTCCTTCCTAAAGTGAGGAACTTGAACACAATATTCCAAATGTGGCCTAACCAG